TTGAGAGTCAGATGAGTTCAGTGATGTGATGGATCCCAAGTCTTCATGAACTCATCACAAACACACTCCCATGTAGACAACATGCGTGTTCATGTTTCCACTGTCAGACTTTATCTTCTCTGTCTTTGAGGTTTTCTCGTCTTCTGCTGATGTCACAAAACCAAATATATCATTTTTCTCATTCAAATCATGATCTCAGTCTGCTCAAAGGTTGTGGTTTCTCCTCTGAATCTTATCAGCAAGTTCAATCAGCAGCTTTTAATTTGTTTAAAAAGCTTAGCAGAAGTAGTCAAACACATGTCAGACACTGAAGGAACACTCTCTACTCTCTACTCTTTATTACAGTTGTAATAAAGTCCTGTGACACAGTTTCACAGTAAAAGTCGATAAATGGTCCCCCTGTAGTTGTAACATTTTCTTTTTTATCCTGCAGTTGTGTAACAGGAACTAACAGCTTTGTGGGTGTCCAGTTTCCCTTGGGGCTGTAACTTTTATGATATTCATCGTTTTAAGCCAATTTGATCCATCTTGTAGTTTCAGCGTGATTTGAATCAGCTCAGCTATCTGTCACCTCTCTGGTTCACACGAATATCCTTTATCACTACTGTGAGTGTTTTCGTCTTTCCCTTAAAGAGAAGAAAAACAGTCAAAATATGAACCGTATATCAGGGGTAGCAGTAGTTACTGTAGCTAACTGTGAAATATTGCCACGCTTGCAGCTGTAAATGGCCAATTCATGTTCTCCCTGAAAATGTCTTTATGTGTGCAAACATCAGTATATCCTCACAATACACTTTATTGTAACACTTGTAAGAACAACTGCGCTCTATCTTTGGGTCTGCACTGTACTCAGTGATGTGCTGTTAACAACACTCTACCTATGTGTTACAGACTCCGAGCTCTGCTGAGGCGCTCGTCTTTGACACAAGTTACCACACCAATCACTTCCTGGGTGGTCTCTTTCACATTAAAAGCTTAATTTGTGCTTATGATAAATAAACTGGTACTTCTTGTTTTTTTTTCTTTTCTAAGCAAACACTCAAAGCGCTTTTTATTACAAGCTTCATTCAGCCAATCACACATTCATACAACTGCTGTTTTTATAAACCCAAGCACCTCATCTAACATTCTCGCACACTGTGGCAGGCAGAGCTCGAAGAGAAGACGTGTGCTAACCTTACTGTAAGACAGGCCTGTCAAACTCCAGTCCTCCAGTGTGAGCCTCCTGCTTGTTTTTGAGTTATCCCTTTCCTACCTGCTGCTGGTTACCTGGATCAGGTGTGCTCTGCCAATAAGAAGCTACAAGGGCAGGTTAATTGGAAAACAAGCAGGAGTTCGTACGTGTCCTGTAAGACCTCCACCCACAGGAGGCGCCACAGAGGCCAGGTGCAATATATTATTTTCAAAACTACATAAAAAGGAAAAAAAAATCACCACTGAGCACAAATAGAAACGTTCTTTCAGATATTGTTTGCTGATCTATTTGCTCTCTTCAATGGGGGCTTCTTGTTAGGAGACCTGATTTCTTGTTTCTAGTCTTTTGGTTTCTTTGTTAATGTTCGGTCTGTGTTGCTTAGTTGCTCTGTCTCCCCTGTCTGCTGTCTCCCCTCTTGTCAAGTCCACATCTCTGTGTTATGTTTCCTGAAAATCTGTGTCTTTTTTGGTATTTTCAGTTTAGTTATTTTATGTTTCATCAGTAAAGCTGTTTTGACTGCATTATTTTGCCTGTGTGAGTCTGCAATATGGGTTCTCTTTACCACCACTCCTGCCTGCACACAGCCTTCTCATGAAACTTCTGGTTTTGTTAAATGCTTTCCTTTCTTTTTCTTCTTTGCTGTCAGTAAAGTTTAAAAGCTGCCACACGTTTTCCTTAGTTTATTATATTTAAAATTGAAGTCTCTGACCTCATGATATAAAGGGAGGCCTTCATTTGTCGGCCCCCCTTTGTCCCCTTAACGCTAACGGTCTGGGGATGTAGACGATGTGGGCTGGAGGAGGCCAAAGCCCTGCTTTGGTTATCAAAAATGATGTGACTTAATAATACGACCTGTACCCTGATAATGCAGTGCGCTTACCATGTAAGATCAAGAAACAAACTTTTTTTAAACAGAATTACCCGGGACTAAGACTCTACTTTAAATTAGCCACACTGTGCTTACTGCCCCTCCTTTTGAATTTTTAATTACACTATAGTCACTACGGTTCACAACATATCACCACACACACACAGGGCCTTGGTGGGCAGGTGTATTGGGAGGCTGGAGGGTTGGGCTACAGCAGTGACCCCATTAACCCCTTCACAATTCATTTTTTTCTGCAACTAAGACTCTGAGGGTCTTGGGGGGTTATGTCACCCCCCCATTCCACAACACACCGACCCAACATAGCACCTTCAACACTAAACAATATATTTATAGTGAGAATAGACTTTAAAACATGAAGGGAGGTTATTAATAAGTTGTCTTATTACGTTGTCTTATTATTGTAAGGCACAGGCCCTACAAAAATACAGACAGACCCAAGAATCACACGATCCCCCTATGAGCAAGAGCTTGGTGACAGTCAGAAGGAAAATCTCAATCTTAACAGGAAGAAACCTCTGGCAAAGCCAGGCTAAGGGAAGGGTAGCCATCGTACATGCCTGTGTGTTGGACCAGATTGGCCACAGTAACAACATTTACACTGTTGGGAGTGTGTTCATGTTGAGTTCAGCCTCATATTGATCTCTGATCTCAGTAAAAACTTGTGTTGTTTATGAATCCTTGGGATTTAGGTGACTGGTCTCACTGGAATGAAACACCAAAGGAGGCCAGATGCCTCTGCTGTCCCAGCAACACCCTGTAGGAGGTGCTGTAGTAGAAGAAAACCAGGGATATGAAGACCACGAAGAAGATGGTGATGCAACTTGTGTGGATGGTTTGATAAACAGAGTGACAAATGCACTTTAAATTCAACATAACATAAAAGTGCAACAAAGGAATATCTTAAAACAAAAAGAAGCCAATAGGAGTGAAGTCACAGATAGATCAAAAATCTTCTGTTTTGTTTGCGCTTTTGATTTCAGCCTGTTAATTGTGCATCTTGTCAAAGAGCTATGGTGTGACTTAATATGAGATAATCTACAAAAAAAGGGCAGACACATGAAGTATGTAATAAACTCACACACTTTATATCGTAACATCACTGTCTTTACTTATAGTAGTGACGAAAAACAGGAAATAAGTCAGAGTGCCGGTTATCAGTTTGGTTACTGTGTGTTTCCTGATCTACGGTGATACTTATTAACTGAGGGGACATAACGACGCAAGCAGCTTCTTCTGCTCACCAAAAACTGGAGAAACAGGTGAGTCCTGTTGCTCATCCTCAAATCTTTAGTATTTCTACTGATTTCATACTTAACTTAAAAGATGACTTTTAGTGGCTCCTGTCATGGGAAAGAAAAGCAGTTCACACAGCTGCCTCAGGACTGCAACTGGCTTCTGCCAAGATTCAGATCTCACCTCTCAAGCCTGAAACATTTAACGCCCGCTCTTTTTTGATCATAAAAATATGTATTTGGGTATTTTTGTTTACACTTTCTGGCAAAATACAAATATTTACTCAATATTGAACATAAGACTTGATGATTCGAAACGATGTGAAACGTTGTGCTTTATATGTGTCATTTGGCGTGGCGTCTTTAGACTGAGAGCGCAGTCTGGGTCTGGGAGAGTGCGGTCTGAGAATGCCTGCTAGTTAAACTGTGTGTGTAAAGCCGAGCACTGTCCAGCCCCGCTTGTTTGTTCCGGGGAGGTTAGCTGTGTAGAGTTTATTGTACTGAGTTATTTTTCCTCCCTTCCTCGAGCCTCGTTCAGCTATCTAGAGTTCCCTTGTGTCTTATTTCCTTTGTGTGTGTATGTAATGTTGCCCAGTGGCTTGCTGTGCGCAGCCCTCATGGTTTTCAGTTATACAATTGGTAATAAAATCCCTGTTTCTGTTAGATTCCTGTGTAAGGACTCGTTTATGTTACTCTCCCTCTGGCCCTTAGCAGAGGGGGTCATAACAGAACTGAAAGCTTTCCAATGAGTTTTAATAAAGACATGATAGTGAGGACGTACAGCAATCCTCCTTAAACACATTCTGTCATGGTCCTGGGCCATGTGGGCCCAGTATTCTTAGTTCCTTGTATTTTTGTATTTCGTTCCTTAGGCCATGTTTCCTGAGTTGCCCTGTTGTGTTGTTCCCTAAGTGTTTTCCCTTCGTGACTCTTACCCCCTGTGTGCCCCTCTGTGTATTTATGAGCCCTCGTCTCTCTTTGTGTTTTATTCTATGTTTTCCCCAGCCCGTTATGTCTGTGTTCTCCCCGTGCTCTCTCTCCTCCTGTCTGAACCTCTGTACTTCCTGTTTGACTCTGCCCGTCTCCCGTTAGTGTTGTGTTCACTCCTGCCGTGTCTTGTTATGATTATCAGTGTCACCTGTGTTCCCCGTGTGCTCCCACTTCCCTCGTTAACCCTCTGTGTATTTATGTCTGCGTCTCCCTCAGTTCTGTGTCACGTTCTCCCTCATGCTGCGTGGATTTCCCTGTGTCTCTCTCTCCGAGTGTTAGTTTACTTTTCCCAGTTTAGTTTTGTATTTTCCAACGTTCTGCCTCTTCAGCAATAAAGCTGTTTTTTGAGTTCATCCCCTGAGTCTGTGAGTTTTGCGATTGGGTCCTCATCCTGCCTGCCACACAGCGACCATGACACATTCATTAACTTTGAACTGAATGAAGGCAGCTCCTCTTAATGTGTAAAGTATCTCTGTGAATTATATTTGTTTTTCAGCATGGCTGACTCAAAAAATGTGACTTCATCTGTCAATGAGACCTGTGATCTGGTTGTCCCATCAGTCAACCCTTTCTTTATGCTGGTCTACAGTCTGCTGTTTCTGGTATGTTTCAAATCGTCAGATTGTGCCCTGAAACTGGTTCCTGGATCATGTTTGAAAGTCCTCTTGTTTACATCCTCTCTGTGTCTCTACAGGTGGGTTTACTCCTCAATGGCTTCATCCTAAAGTTTTACATTTCTCAAACTCAGCAGCAGGCATCCAGAAGCTTGATGGTCTACCTGCAGAACCTGACAGCTGCTGACTTCCTGCTCTGCCTCTGTCTGCCACTGCGGATAATCCACTATGCCAGCAACTCGGCCATTTTGCACATACTCCACTGCAGCATTGGAGCTACTTCCCTGTACCTCAACATGTACACCAGCATCCTTTTCATGGGGTACATCGCTGTTAACAGGTAAGGAACATTTACTGAGCTAAAATTGCAGTTCATAACAATGTTAAAACAAGGATTTTGGTTAATTACACTCTTAAACTCTGTACTTTTGGCAAGAACATGAATATTTAGTTTCACTTTAACAGTGACTTCTGCAGATTTGGCACCACTGACTCGTTTGGTAAAGTTGTATACTGCCTCTTTTATCTCTACAGGTATCTGACAATCATCCATCCTTCAGGAACTCACATCCTGCAGACAGTACGAACTGCCCACATCGTCTCCACGGTCACCTGGGTTTTTCTCCTGGCTCCAACAATCGCCTACAACATCATGTTTTTCATTACTCACAAACCTTTCACCTCTGACCGCTGCTACTGTGGGCCCCTCTTCAGTACGTCATTCAGCATCCTTCATAAAGCATTCCAAATCAGCTGCACCATCATCTTCCTCTTAGTCTTCATATGCCTGGTCTTCTTCTACTACAGCATCTCCCGCAGGGTGTTGCAGGCCCAGCAGAGGCAGCTGGCCTCCTCTGGCTCTGAGAAGCTGGTGAAGTCTCGCAGGAACATGTTGGTGCTGGTCAGCATCTTCTGTGTTTGCTTTGTCCCCTACCACCTGGCTCGTCTTCCCTATGCTTTTCTGTGGGACACCAACACTGTGGGCCGGCTATTGTACTACCTGAAGGAGGCTGCCGCCATGGTGTCAGTTTTCAACGTCTGCCTGGACCCACTTGTTTACTTTTACCTCTGTAAGACTTTTCGGGTCCACGTGAGAAAGGCATCCTGGAGAGTCAACAATCCAAACAAACAAACCAGGAGAGTGAGAGCAGCAACGAGCCAAACCAAGGAGCTGTAAAGAAAAGAGCTCAGACATCAATATGAGGCTCAGCTCAACATTTCATGGGGTGATGACATCATGATCATTTTTTAATTTTCAATATATTTTCAAGAATAGAAAACAAAATATTTTTCACTTTGTCATTATGGGTTTTTTTTTTTACATTAATTTTGAGATGAAAAGAAAATGAATCATTCTGGAATGAGGATGTAACCTGACAACACGTGGACCAAGTGAAGCGCTGTGAACACTCTCGCGATGCACGGCACCTCAACATCACCGCTTCACACATGGCTCATTTTTAACCTTCTTCTTTCCACAACACGCTAACATGTAGCTTAAACAATCACATTTTTATATCTTGTTTACTTTCTTTCAGTTGTTTTTTTCCAAAACCTGGAGCTGATAAACGATCACCATGTTGTTCTTTGTGACCTGGATTGTGTTGTTAATCTGTGTCACACAGACTGACTATATGTCAGCACTTGTAGCTACCTGCAGCCAGTGTTGGGTAAGTTACTTTAAAAAAGTAATTAATTACTAATTACTAATTACTTAATAAATATTGTATTTAAAACACTTATCTAATTACTGTGTCTGAAAAGTAACTTAATTACTAAATAAGAAAATTTAACTAAATACTTCTTAAAATCCCGATGAACCTTGAGTGGAAAAACAATAGAAATTAAACTCTTTAAATACATTTTTTTTAAAGACAGAGACTCTACAGTACGCAGCGGTAGCATCGCTTCCACAATGTAGCCTGCAATCATTTTTTAAGCTCACCTTCAGACGCTTTCTGTGCTGCTGAAGTAAAATCACGTTTTGCTGCTTAGCAGGAGTTGCCGCGGTGATGGATGATGAACAAGGATCGCTCAGAAGTGTTCGTCTATGCTCTCGTGTCAGGCGCTTCGGTAGATTACTCCTGCTATTAACAGCAGCCGATGGTTTTTACATATTACTGTAATGTTCTTGTCTGCTTGTTTCAGAAAAGTGAAGAGACGGGAATATGTCCACTTCATAAAACAGCCACTCGCTTCAGCCAAGTCCAACATCTTCCGCTGTAGAATACGACTGTGCAGCAAACTGGTGCAAAATGACGCGCAGCTGCACTACAACGATGTTAAAGCGGCAGAGTTTACTTCTACGTTTAGAAGACAAATTATTGAAATTAAATAATGATATTCAGCGAGTTTAATTATTTTACAATGTCACGCAAGTACATTGTAAGTAACTGTATTTAAAATACCTAAAAATGAACAGTAATTAATTACTCTACTTTTTCAGTGGAAAAATAATTTAATTACAGTGACTCACGCGTTACACCCAACACTGCCTGCAGCAATAATAGAATGTTTGCAGATGTAAATGACTTATTATCAGTCACAATCTCTTTAGATAGAAAATAATCTGAAGGTTTTTTATTTTCTTGCTTTATTTATGTGTACATCAACAACATGACATGCGAAGCTGAACTGATCAGAAGCGGAGAACTTGTAACCCTCAGTTTTCTAGACTATAGAACACTTAGAAATATCATCAATGTCTTACATTCAGTTCCAACATTGCAACAAACCAAACTGTTTTAAAAATCAGGTCTCAGATTTATTCTGTATAGACCTCAGGCTCCACAGACATGCACACACTGGGAGGGAAAGACAACCCTGAACAGTATGGCTGCTGTGCTTCTGTATGTTTTATGGTTTTGTTTTGTTTCATGTTGTGCATGTATAACATAGCAGCTACTTCCTCATACTCTTTCCACTGAGCTGATGGCTGAGGCTACAGTCAGATTTCTCAACACAAAACTAATAATAGAGTGTGTATAGCTGTGGGATGTGTGTGTCTGTCCTGTACGCTGTGGTGAAATATGTGTTATTTTTGCTCTTCTGCTGATAGTTATAAATAAATATAGCTGCAGTGATATCATCTGTAAATCCTCTTTTCATCAACAGCTGGACGTTAAACTTTATCGTAACACCTAGAACATAGGTGTCAAACTGGCCCGCGGGCCTAATTACATTTGGCCCGCGAAGCCATACCAAATTACTATTAGAGCTGGCCTACTGGCATTATACAGCTAATATATATATTGTTTAGTATTAAGCTTTGCTTGTTCCATATTCAGTTTTTCAGCAAAACGTGTCCATAAGAAAAGATTCATTCTTATATCAGGAGGAATAAATATATTTCAATAAATATTAATGTTAGCCCGCGACTTTGTTCCAGTTTTGAATTTTGGCCCACTGTGTATTTGAGTTTGACACCCCTGACCTAGAACAACCACACTGAGCCGTGTGTTAACGTTCAGAATGAGCACAGGAAGCGGTTTGAATATCTAAGACCTCAGAGTGTCATGAAGGAGGCCGGAGTTCTCAGACTTCTTGTGGTTTGAGGCTTTTTTCTGATTGGCTGCTGTTCAAGTGAAGTGCTTTCAGATTCTAACTTTGGGCTCGGCACTTATAGAGCGCTTTTCTGCTCTATCTGAACACTCAAAGCACTTTTAACTACAAGCCTCATTTAGCCAGTCACACACAAATTCATACGTTTTTTAATCTAAGCATCTTATCTAACATTCAATCGAATCCACCTACATTACAATTGCTAGAAGACCTGCTCTTCCTCCTGAACCTGTATGTTTATAAGAGACAAATGTTGAATGCTCCTCCTGAATCATATCTGTTATTAACCTCTGTCTCTCTTCCACAGCATGTCTTTATCCTGCCTTCCTTCTCTCACCCCAACCGGTCGCAGCAGATGGCCCCGCCCCTCCCTGAGCCTGGTTCTGCCGGAGGTTTCTTCCTGTTAAAAGGGAATTTTTCCTTCCCACTGTTGCCAAAGTGCTTGCTCATAGGGGGTCATATGATTGTTGGGTTTTTTCTCTGTATCAATGAAGCGCCTTGAGGCGACTTTTGTCGTGATTTGGCGCTATATAAATACAATTGAATTGAACTGACTTGAATTAAATTATCAAGCTTATAAGTAAACTTTTATTTTTGACTTTTAAATGTGTCCTCAACAGGAAGCATGTAATCATACTCTCAGCGCTCTGTTGGGGTTTCATAGTTCCAATGAGCATAACCAATTTTAGAGGTGTGCTGCCACCTGCTGGCTGCTCCCAGTTGCTGCTCAGGCTGTCCATCTCTGAGAGGACACTGGAGCCATAGCACTTAAATGAAGCTGTGTAATATTAAAGATAAATGTTTATTAAAAGTACCACCAGATCTTAATTATGACTTCAGTGCTGTTCACAGTCAGAAAGTTTGTTTGTGTAGCGAGTAAAAGCCACCGAGTAACCGCTAAGGGCCTCTATACTACTTGTGCAAACTTTCAGGCCCAAAGCTCTCACAGGAACGAGCCCAGAATAAACGGGACAACAGGGTCAATAACAGTCAGATATGTTAAAATTTATTATTTTAAAAGAAAACACAAAGGGTTTGCAAAAGGACTAAAACATCAAAATGGGAAAGGTCACTAACGACCACAAGATAGTCTTATTGGTGCAACCTGCCAGCAATGCAACTATCACCTGAGGGCTTGCTCTACCCCGGTGGTCCCAGATCGTTGCATTAAAAGAAACAAATCCACCCCAAATAAATCCGAGCCTGTGAAATGCACTTCACACACGCACAGTTGTTTGTCGCCAGATTCCACGTTTATTTCTAGTTTTCATTTATTATGATAGTCCACAGTCTGACAGCTCCAGTCTCAGCTGATTTCCAGCCTCCCCTCCGCTCCTCTCCTGTCATCAGTCCAACCATCATCAGTCCAAACGCCATCAGCTGTTCTCACCTGCGTCTCCAGCACCGCCCCGTTGAGCTCACTGCACCACTCCTCCCCTGCAGCCGTGCCCGGGACCACACCTCCGCCACAGAGCCCAACAGAACATTTATCGCATGCACTAAGTGTTTTAGTTCAGGCAATAATCAGTGGCACTAAAATCACTCTTAATAAAACTTATTCACTGCAAATCCACACGGAGCACCTCTAAAAAGACCTAATTCCCCTAAGGTAAGAGCCCAGCTCAGGGATTGCACATTGCCCGACTAATATTGCACCAGCCCAGTAGAAATAAAAACAAAACCTGGCATAAAAAACAGTTTAAAAGGTGACCCTACTAAAACCAAAAAGCCAACAAAAAAGAGAAGGAGGAAAAAAAAACAGTGACAAATTCACATGTGCAGCCTGCCCTGCAGGAGGCAGTACAATATAAATTAGATTATAGTGCATAAATATACTTTTTTTTAATGTCAAATATATTAAGTTAACATACCTCCAGCAGACAACTGTGTTTGCTGCACACCTGGCTTATCTTGGCTTATCTTCTAAAATCACTACTAAAAACATAAAATACAATAAACATCAAATACATTTCAACAAATTAAAAAAAAAGCACTAAAAGAGAAACAGCCTTTACCTCGAACCTCTGCTGTAGAGGTTTAAAACAACAGCTGCCGGCAGAGCTCACGGGCGCGTCACTGCAACTCCCCCTGGCTTCTGTTCCGCGGCTGCTGAGTGAGCCCTCATCTGGGACTCTCCTCAGCTCTTTCTGGGACAGTGGCGCGGCTGCCCTCTGTTGGTCTTCCTTTCTTTCTCCCCTTCTTTCCCCCAGTCAAGTCTGTCCCGTATTCAGCAAGTGAAAATAAAATAAACAATAAAGGGTGAATCAAATGGACCATTATGGCAAGGCTGGGATGGTCAATTTGGTAAAGTAAATCCGTTGGGCATCTTTTTTTGCCTTTAGACAACAATTCTGATGCAAAAGAGCCAAACGGGACAGGCAAAAAAAAAAAGAAAAGAAAAAAAAGAGGTTTAAAACAACTGTTTGTGTAGCAGACAATCAAAACTTCTCAGGCTCTTCACCTACTCACACAACCATTGTTCACAGCAGCTAGAAAGTAGTGATGTGTCGGTCGCGAACGAATTGGCTCTTAGAGCCGGGTCTTTGACATGAAAGACGCGATCCAACTCCTTATCGCGAGCCTTGGTTTCCCCCCCCCCTTTCTCTCACCCTCTCTCTCACACCTTTTGCATGCGAGCCTTGTGCTTTGCACTGGGAAGAGGGGGAGGGGCGGTAGTTACACTCGCAGTAGCACAGGAAGAGAGAGAAAGAGAGCCAGGGACAACAACATCACATTAGAAAGGTA